GAGGAGGAAGAAAAGGAGAAGGAATAGGAGATAGCTAAGCTCTGGTGACAGCAAGTGGCTTGGGAAGGGAAGTCAAAACTTAAGAAGCAAACTATCATGAGTGAGTTTTTTGGAGGGTTTTCTTTCATCTCTTGGCTTGGAACCAACGAAGATGCCACTGTGGAAATACACACAACCACAGGCAGCAAAAGTATCATAGGGCTCCCCTACCTTTCAGTCACTGAACCAAGATCAAGTATTCCTACAAGCAGGAGACTATGGGAAAAAAAATTCCCAGTTGCTATTTTGGAATAATTTTAAACTTACGGAAAGTCTGCAAAGATCGTCTAATGTTCCCATGCACCCCTCACTCACTTTACCCTATTGTTATCATCTTATACCATGGTCCACTTTTTAAAATGAAGAAAGTGTTCATTGGTACAGTTATCACTTATCATGATGTGTACATTATTTTCACCAAACTCCAGACTTCATTTGGATTCACTCGTTTTTGCATGAATGTCATTTTCTGTCCCGGGATACAATCTTGGGTACCCTATTGCATTTAGTCTTGTGTCTAGGGGTTTCTCGGTCTTTTCTGGTTTTTATGGTCTTGAGAGTTTTGAGGATCAGGTGTTTTGTTGAATGTCCTTGTATGTTTGCCTGATCTTTTTCTTCTGCTTAGATTGGAGTTACGGATTTGGGTAAAGAATACCAAAGGGAGTGATGTGCTGTTTTCATGACGTCCTATCAGAGGAAGATGCTATCAACATAATGTATCACTGATTATGTCAGTCTGGCTAAAAAAAGTGTTTTCTGGATTGGAAGCAAATCACTAAATCTGGTGCAAAATCAAAGGGAGAAGAAAGAGAATCTACATCACTTACTGGAAATTCTGCCCTGCCCTAAAAATGGCTCTCCTCCTGGAGCTACAGTGAGGTGTCATATTGGCATTACCTAAAACCTAAGAAGAAAACTTGTCTTTCTGGGAAATCCCCATCTCTTCCTCTCTTTTCCCTTGCTACTTTGCCTTGAGAGTAATCCCGATTGTACAAAACTACTTAGTAGCATATGTGGCTTAAACTTTTAGATAATCGGCAAATTTCTACTCAGGGGATTGGAGAAAGGGGTCCCTGGAAGCAACAGAAAATGGGGCAAATAATGGAGAGGAAAGAAATGGACAAGAGCATCCCTTAATTCTGTGTATGAACTAACAGAAGTCCTGGGCTCATTCTGAGCTGCTCACATGGAGAAAAGACCCAGTGCCAAAGAGCAAAGGATTTGGAACTGAGTTGACATTGGAACCACAGCCCACATAAGGTGTGTCTGGAACAGACTAAAGATACCCAGGTTCATTGCCTGTTGAATAAAAATAGTTGACATTCTCCAGAGGATTTTAATATATCATAATACTCAAAATGTCTAGGATATAATCTAAAATTCCTAAACATAATAAAACCTGGAAAGTGTGACTGATGCTCCAAGGATGAGATAGTCAGACGTCAACCTCAAGATTACCCAGAAATTAATTTTTTTGAAGATCTTTAAACAATTATTAAAGCCATGCTCAAAGAGATAAAGATAGACACTCTTTATGAATGGAAAGATAGGTGTTCTCCTCAGGGAAATAAACTATTTTTTAAATGAGTATTTTAGAACTGAAAAAGAAAATATCTGAACGAAAAAATTCACTGGAGGATCTGAATAACACAGTGAAGCAGACAGAGAAAAGAGTCCATGAACTTGCAAAGAGACCAATAAAACGTACCCAATTTCTCCAACAGAGAGAGAAAAGAAAAAGAGTGAAAAACTGAGACTCTCAAGTTCCTATGAGACAGTATCAAAAAGATCTAATATTCATATTTAAGTCCCCAAAGAAGCAGAGAAAGAAAGCAAACAGAAAAAAAAAAAAAAAAACATATATGGGAACAGCAGTTTGAAGGATCGCTTGGTTTCTTACCAGAAACCAACGTTCTCAGAAGACAATGGACAACATCTGTCAAGTCTGAAGAGAAAAGAACTTCCAACTCAGGATTCTGTATGCAGCACACATATCCTTGAGTAATGACATCAAAATGAAAACATTCTCAGAAGAAGAAGAACTAAGTGAATTCATTGTCAGCAGGCCTCTTCTAAAACAAATGTCAAAGAAAATTCTTCAATCTAGAATGTTCCTGTGGGAACTCAGAACTTCAGAATAAACAAAGAGAAAAACAAAAATGAAAAATACATGGGTAATTATAATAGAGCCTTTTTCTGTTGTGTTTTTTACAATATGTATAACTATCAGAAGCAAAAATGTAAACAGTGTCTCGAGGAGTTATTGATATCCGTGGATGTAATATACATACTCACTATGACATAAAGGGGGAATACCAATTCCTAGAGAATCTGCTTAAAATATACTACAAAGAGATAGAGTCTGAAAATTGGTAGATTTAAATGGGTTACTCAAAGATGTTCAAATAATTAAGAAGAAAGCAAGAAAGGCGGAGCAGAGAAACAAACACACATACATACCACATAGGCACAAATCAAGCAAATAATAAAATGATACACCTAAAACCAGCCGTATCGAAGATTGCATTGTATGTAACTGGTCTAAACACATCAATTAATGATGGAGACTGTCAGATTGGATTTTTTATTTTTTAATATGCTGTAGCTGCTATCTTAAAGCTAGCAGAACTCCAATAGCCATAATAATGTATGCACCATAAAAACAGAATTTTATCTGTAAATGGGGGGGGCACCAGATAAATTAAATCACCAGATAAATAAAATCCACCTAGTCATAGAATAGGTTTTGTTTTAAAATCCTCATTTTTTAAGGTTTGGCGGAGACAGCTCTTCTCTACAGCACACATGGCCAGGCCCACTGAAGTCAGTTAAACCGCTCTAGATTGACCACACAACAGCCATCTGCTAACAGAGCTCTGATTTTGTTTAGCCCCCAGAGAAAAATCACTGGTCTGATCAAATTGTAATAATCTCATTTCTTTTTGCCAGTTAATGACCTATGGTGCACAGATGAGTCCATTTTGGCCAACACCATGTAAGAAGCCTATTGGGGGCATCTAGGCAATGTATTTCTTTTCAAAAGGAGAGAAGAAAAAAAGAAAAGAAAATCTACTTTTTTTTTTTTTTTTTTTTTCTTTGTGAGCATGGACTCTCTTGCTTTATTTTGCAAATTCTGGTTTGGGATATTTAGAGCTATGGTAACCACCGCCACTAGGAAGGGAGCAGAGTATGACAGTGGAGGAAGATAAGAGGAGTCCATTGAACCAACCCTGAGAGCACGTGCTGTTGGACTTCTGGTTAAGTAAACAAGAAGTCTATCTATTGCTTAAGCCAACGTTCGGCCATGCATTCTACCTGTAGTAGCAAAGACAGCCCAATCTTTCTCAGCACGGAATGTCTGCCATATGTGCATTTCTGCCTTTTGGGCATGGTTAGAGCCACTACCCTTCCTCCTTTCTCAGCCACCTAATTTGGAAGGAATGGGGGGAGAAGACAGAAAACATCTGTCTAAAAAAGATGAAGATATAGTAGAGTAAGAGGCAGAGTACTCTTCATTTATTACAAAGAAATATAATAATATTTGGGTTGGGATTCTTTCACTCAAGGTCAACATTACTGAGTGCTGATTTTCTCCCAAAGTGCGTTAGGTACTACAGGTACAACAGTGAGAATATGTTCTGTGCTTCAAATGGCAGTGATGAATACTACACAAATAAGAATAGAAGGTGAGGTTGTGTTAGAAAGAAAAGTGGGCGAGCATGTTGGGAACTCTTCTGAAGTCGTGAGAAACTAACAGCTATCTCAGAACTATGCAGAGATTTGTAGACCTTTCCACTTTCTTTCAGAAGTGATAAAGACACTTCGAAGTTGTAAAGCTTCAGTAAAATTTCACGTTAATAATTTAAACTCAAAGGCGGCAACAAAGCAACCTTTCATTTGGGATCTTTGAAAAAAAACAAAAAAAGAAATACCTACTTCAGGAAAGTTTTAAAATTTTAATCCATCTGTGATAACACCTCACTAACTTGGAAATTAGGTAAGGGAAGAACTTAAAAGGGTTAGAAAATGGCCAGATAAAGTCAGCTATGCTAGATGGTAGGGGAGGGGGAAAAAAGAGTTGAGAAGGAATGGAATATTAAAGAACAAAATGAAAATGAGGGTAGGCAAAAGGAGCATGGGCGTGGAGAACAAGTCCTGAAGGCAACTCCAAGTCGTCCTGAACTATGACAAGGAGGTCAGGAAATCCTTTCGGGTGGAGCAGAAACTTGGGGAGTACACACCGTTTTGAAACAACCTGATTCATGACCTTGTTTACAACAGGAAGAATCAGTGTTCTAGGCTATTCGAATACCAGCTTAGAAAACCTGTGAGCCCAGCAGAACTCCTTGGGTGTTGTGCCAGGTTGAGAATCAGAGCGTTCATCCTTCCAGTCTGTGGTTCTTTCTCAGGCTGGGAATTTCGAGACCTTAGAGAGGCGGGGCTTGGGAACCTGGAAGTTGGTAGTTACCAAGTTATCCATGAAAGCTTCCAGACAGCTGGCCACCCACCCAAAACTCACAGAATTATTGCTGAGTTCCATTTTCCAGGGTATGTATTTCCCCAAAAGTACTGCAGATTAAATCATAAATACGAGCCAGTTGCAGTCACAACCGCATATACCAGTGAGAACCCAGAGACTTCTGCAAACAGGCCCCACGACGCGAGAAACCCCGCCCCCGTTCGTAACCATGGGAACGGCTGACACTCCGCGAGCCGGCGATTCCCGGTTCCGCCCCCTCCCTAACAAATATTGTTTCCCACTATCTGTCCACATGGGCGCACCGCCTCACTATTGGTCAGTGACCCAGGACTGTGCCTTGTTCCAGCCAATAAGCGGCCTGTGCACGTGTACGCCTGCGTACCCCGATTGGTCACTGCTGTCTGATCACGCACTGCCTACCTGCGCCATCCGGTGCGTGGGAGCGCCTATGAAATGACTCGGTAGCCATTTACAACCAATCGGCACGAGGCGGGACTCACAGCTGGCCTATGGACGCGCGCCGGGGGTGGGCTGTCCCGGCCCCTGTCCAGGCCCACCGGGGTTTGTTAAAGCGATAGGCCCCGCGGCGCGCCAGGGCTTCACCGGGTACCGCACAGCGGCCGCAGCGGCCCTCAGCGTGCGGCGGGCGCCCGTGACAGCGGCGCCCCTCCGCTCGCCAGGCCGGCTCCAGGCAGCTGCCGATCTCCCTGGCGCGGCCCCATCGCCCGGCGGGATGGGCGGCGAGGCGGGGTCCGCGGCGGCCGTGGGCTCCGAGGGCCGCGTGAAGAGCTTGGGTCTGGTGTTCGAGGATGAGCGCAAGGGCTGCTACTCGAGCGGCGAGACGGTGGCGGGACACGTGCTGCTGGAGGCGGCCGAGCCGGTGGCCCTGCGCGCGCTGCGCCTGGAGGCCCACGGCCGAGCCACTGCCGCCTGGGGCCCGAGCCCTGGCGCCGCATCCCCGGCCGCCGCCTCGGAGGTGGAGTACTTGAACGTGCGCCTGAGCCTGCGCGAGCCCCCGGCCGGTGAGCGAGGGCCACGGCCCCGGGGTCCCCGATGGGTCACGGAGGCTCCGCAGAGGGGCTGGCAGGAACCGGGAGGGCGCGCGCCGGCGGATGCCCACCGGCTAGGGAGGTGGGGGCGGGATCCGGGGCTGGGGTCCGCCCACTTGGTGGCGGGAGCCTCGTTTTGGGGGCCGGTGACGGGAGGGTAACAATGCCTGTGTCCCCCGTTGCAAAGCACTGGGGCGATCCCGAGAGAGGAGTGCGCACGTCTACCCGGCGCCTCACGGCCGGCTCGCTTGGGCCTGCCCAGCGCCAGGCGTCCCAGGACCTTCCAGGACCTCCGCTGGAATGAACCGTTGCCATGGGAACCTGTGATGAGCAGTCAGAAATCTAAGACCTGAAGATCTAGGTCCAGTCCCTTCGGGCCTGAGGGATGGAGAGCGGAATCAGACGATGAGGTTCCATGCTTGGTGCTCAGTGTTTTATGGGCCTCCCCTTCTTCCCATCCTGGGGGGTAGACTCGTTCTCGGTTCAAGATGAATTAGCAAAACCTCAGTCTTGGGAAGAGGGAAGTAGTTCAAGGAGTTCAACGAAGGAAGTGTTTCTTGACCATCATACTTGGTTTCTCTCTTCTGAGAGCAGAGTAACTTAAGAGTTCTGCTTCTGCCCTATATTTTGTCTTTTATTCTTTGCTTCTTTTTGTTAACTTGCAACATCCCCCTCTCCTCCCAGCCGCAGTGTAGGCCTTTTGAGACAGTGGGATCCGGGTGTTTTAAGTTTCGGGAGGAACGATTACCCACTTCTAGTCCACTCTTGTGAAGGCCACTTAATAGTGCAGGTCTTTCCAAGTGCTTATGTGGCAACCATGACATAGCTGTTTCATCTCTTTGTATGCTACGTGTATACGTATAAAATTTTATAGAATTGTATATAAGAACTATGCAAAAATTGATCATCTTAATCATGAAAATACTAGGAACAGTGAGTCTTGCTCTTCATGAAGCTGGTGGTACGTGCTTTAAACTATTTTACCTTCCTGCCTAATTCAGCTTTTATCTATAGAAGGAGAAAATGGTATAAACAATCTTAATGCTTTAACTGTCTCTGTGTCTTATACACAGTAAATTGTATGTGCAATTTTGTCTTTTCCTACATTGGAGAAGTAGACTGTTCGCAGTTAAATCCTCAAGGTATGTGAGAATCCAGTGATCCCAAGTATTGTAGTGAGGAAAGAGCATATTTGGAACCAAAGCCTTCTTTTGAATTCACCAGTGCAGTGTGTTGGGTCACCCTCTCCTCAGTGTGGTTTCCAGGATCAGCCCACACATGCCTCCCCCAGTGGTTGGGACAACACAGATTTTCAAGATGGCTGACTGGAGTCAAGGATCATGGAAGAGAAATGTAAAGTGGTTTTGTCCAGGACTTTGGACTCTCTAGATCTCTGTGCCCATAACTACTGAGTAAATAGAAGTGAGATTAATAGCAGTTGGACCTGGGATTAGCAATAAAGAAATTGCCTTGGTAGAATCTGGTCTGACAAATACTATTTAGAATCACAGGCTAGATCTTGCTTTTTCATTCTGATGGAATAGAATGTCCTAGCCTAGGCAAGCTGAAAAATTTTAGCTTGTTTTCTCAAAAGATATCATACCAAATATCAGCAAAAATTGTTTTATTTAAAAAAATCATAATTTGCTTTAGGGGATCTCATGAGGAAAAAAAAAGGACCCGTAATATCTATAGCTTGGAAGAAGTTAGCAACTTTACATAATTATAGATTCTCAGGGTCATTTGTTTTACAAAAATTAGCTGAATTTCAGTCACCCAAAGAGATTTTTAGAAATCTAGATTTTTGGAAAATGTGTCTATGAGATCTATTTTCAGGAAACCTCCCTAGATAACTGTTTGGCACTGTTAATCTAATCTACTTGCTATCACTGTGATTGATTTTCTTCATGTTTTTTTTTAATAATTGAGGAATTATGGTAAAAAGACAAGACAGAACAGAGAATTGGTTTTACTTGGTCACCCACCAGCAGTATGACCTTGTGGGAGTCCCTGAACCTTCCTGAGCCCAAGTCTCTGACTCTGTAATGATGCTCTAAGCTCCCACTTAGTGCCCTGAGTGAGGAGCTCAGGCCCTAAGACCATTGGTGACTGGAATGCCTCTCTGTGACACTGTAGTCCTCAGTGTATAAGGCAGAAGCACTGAATCATGAGAACAGAGGCGGAAATGGGCATGTGATTCAGCTTGTGAAACTTTAAAAAAAAAAATAATAGTCATAAGAGAAAGGAAGAAAACTAAGATTTGTTTCCAAATCCTATAAGCTGGGTTTATCAACTTTCTCCATTTGTGTTCCTATTTATGTATGGAAGTGATTGAAAGTCTTGTTTTAAATGTTCTAGTTCCTGTGTTCATTTGTATTCTCTATGATAAGAGAACTTTCTCTCTCTCGGTAGCCCAAGTAATGCTCTTCTCCACACATGCCCACTGTGCCCAGCCTCATGCTGTTCCCTTCCTCTGAAACCCCCTCCTGCGCCTCTCCGTGCTAGCTCTCAGGTGCAGAGCAGGTACCGTCCCTTCCCGGGGCTCCTGCACTCTGTGCTCATTACTGTGTGTGTGTCTGTAGCCTCTCCTCCTGTGGTCTGTCCGAGGATTGACCTTACTCATCTTTGTATCCACCATGCCTGCTGTCTAAGCGCTGTGAGGTTTGAACTCACATGAAACCCACGTTTCTAAACATTGTAAAGGACACGGCTTGTCATATTCCGTAGTCCAAGGATTGTAACTTAGAACTTTAGTCCAGCTCTCATCGGGACTGCCTGGAGCCTTTTACTCTCTAGCACAGCTGTAACAGTGCTGAGTCTCACTGGGAGGACAGCTCTGGGCACCACTGAGCCCTGGGGACCACCTTCATCACTGTGGTTGAACAGGGCCTCATGTCCCTGTCCCTTGTTCACTTTGCCTCCAAGTCCCCTACTTGTGCTATGTTTCTTATTTGAATGACCTTTCAGTGGTAAATACCTTACTTTTATTCCCCCTAATATATTACATGCTGAAAATTGAGGACAGATTCAGAAGACTAAATGGGCCAATAATGCATTCCTCTTTTCTGAAAGTACAAGGTTAAAATGTTAATTGTTTCTAGTAAGTAAAAAAATACTCCATTTTACCAGCCCTTTAAATGCCTCTCTCTTTTTTGAATGAACGGATACAGTAGGAAGCTCTGTTTTTAGTATCAACTGACCAGGCAAATCTTGAAGAAAGTTCTCATCTCTGTTGCACTTTCTTCCTCTGAATCGTGCCACCCTTCATGAGGGGGTTTAGTTCACAACTTGAATCGATGAGCATAAAGTGAAGGGGAAGTTTCTAAGTATCTCGGCAGAGCTGTCTGAACCACGTGACAGCCTGGCGTTGACTTTGGATCTGAATGATGCTGGTTGTTTGTGTGTTCACGGGAACTCCAGCAGTGCCCCGGCCTCCCAGGGTCCATCTGCCCCCTGTAGCTCGGCCTTGACAAGCGGGGCTAAGCCTCTGCGTGAGAGAAAACCCAGCTGGCTGACCCAGGCCCAGACTGGGAGGGAGGAGTCATGGCTGTGCTTGGCAGACCCTGCTCTGTATGTTGACTTAACCACCAATTAACTAACCACCTATTAATTGGTAGAGCTTAAGTGTAAATGCATGACCCTTACCTCATAAGTTGTCCTGTTGGTTTGGCTGTTTGGAATTATACTCAATCTTCACAATATCCTAAGGAAATTTTTCACCTTCGTTTTGCATTTTTGCCTAAGGAATACAGAATCAGATTTTTATGGTACACCCGAAATAAACAGATGCATTTTTTGCTAAATCAGCTTTCAATCCATTTTAATATTGGTATTTCATATTAGTATAATAGTATACTATAACATATACTATTAGTGTAATAGCATTGGTGTGTGTTTATAATATAATGTTGGGACACTTGTGCTAGTTTATGAGTGGGCAAACAAATGTGTATGTGTACACGCACCCACATGTTACAGGTATACTTGTGTGTGCATGTATACATATATGTGCTTGTATATACATAATGTGTATGTACATGTGACCTCTGGGTTCTGATACTTGTGTGATTGGTCTCTCTAAAGGTGGAAGCTGTATGCGTATATATATGGTTTGAAATTAATAAAACTTGGTAGAAACTGATTGACATTCTAATTCTCTAAATCTTAGAGATTAATATACTTTTTGGAGTATCCTGGATACTCCAGGGGAAACCTCCCTTTAAAAAAATAGGACTTAAGTTGTGAAAATTCTTGATCTAATAGGAACCTCAGTTAAAAATGTATTTTCTTTTTTAGGTGAAGGCATCCTCTTACTACAGCCTGGAAAACATGAATTTCCATTTAGCTTTCAACTTCCATCTGAGTAAGTGAAACGATACTACTTTTATGATTTTCTTTCTCTGCAATACGCCAGTCCCGAGGGGAGGGTGCAGAGTATCTCTGAAACTCAGCGATGCCCATTGATCTTGAATAACCCCTCACAGACTTCCCCTGTTCACATTCTTCTTATTTTTTTTAACCCAAACCAACACTTTAAGGGTGTTTTTCCAGTAGTGTTTTACTGAAAGATAAACTTCTCAATTAACCTCTTTGGTTTGTTTCAGACCTTTAGTAACCTCATTCACTGGGAAATACGGAAGTATTCAGTACTGTGTGAGGGCAGTTTTGGAAAGACCCAAGGTACCTGACCAGAGTGTGAAGCGGGAGCTCCAGGTTGTTAATCACATCGATGTCAACGCACCAGCGTTACTAGTGAGTCTTCTTCTTCCTCTTCCTCCTCCCCTCCCTTCCTCGCTTCCATCAGTAGTGCTGTGTACACCAAGCCCATGCGGCGCTAGCCCGTCCTGTCACTTTCTGATACAGTCTTGTAACCCGTGGGCCTTCGCGATAAATGTGTGATTCTAGGTTGGGCAAATTACAAATTGTGTGTGTTAATACTATTGATTATGTCTCCGTTGTTCGGGGCTGCTTTTGCCAAAAAGTTACACAGGCTTGAAATGCATTAATAAGGCTTAATAACACTAATGCGCACACAGAGAGGGCTTACTTTTCCCAGAGCGGCCACATTCACGGGGCGGTGGTATTCTAAACTCTTCAATAATAGCAGGTTGAGGAACAGTAATTATGGAAGAGTATTAATCAAGCTCAGCCTGTTATTGAGGCTCAGGCCATTATGCTATGTATCCTTCCATTTTGCATGTCATTTTCCAACATTAAGTAAGTGCGTGCAGCTGCTGTGGAGAGCCTTTCTCTTATCATTTCCTTATGACAGATTTGGCCACATTAAAGCATTGAACTTCTAATCATCACCAGAAATACTGTAGGCTGATAAGAAAGATTAGGCTGTAAGTAACAACAGAATAGGCAAGATGGGAGCTAATGAGCTAGATTCTTTTATCTAAACCCATATTATCAAAATAATATAAAATTATACCTTGTACTTTCATGATAGCTATGAGGACCTAATGGTTCTTCATTTAAATATGAATGAATTTTTTTTTTTTTTTTTCACTTCATAGAAAATACTGGGATAATTTGAACTTTTCCATCATGATACGGATGCTCCAAAGATGTATCATTAGTGCTGGGGGTTTCTTTTGCTAGCCAGTGTTTTTAAAGAGAAAGGTAAAAAACAAGTTCAAAGGTGTTTCACCCAATTGTCATTCGAAAATGGAATGGACTTCACTGTAATGTTCACTTCGAGAGGGTGGCGGTGTATTGGTTACGCTCTAGCCGCGTGGTCCTTTGGGGACAGCACCCCGCCGACCAGGCTGAGGCTCCAGTTATAGCTGGAAGTTACCATCCACATAACACCTTAGGTTTTTTTGTTGTTTTGTTTTTGTCTTTTTTGCAAATTGACAATACTGTCTTGTGCTTTTAGAACTACTTAGAATTGGGAAGGTGACTATTTCTAAACTATGGGACCATCGTGGCAAAGGATTTAGGGAGATTTTCTTTTTTTTGCCAAAAAGAGAAACTACTAATCCTTTAATTTTTTTTTTAAGTAAAAAAAATTGCAGCTTTAGGTTTTACGATGAGCTTTTTTGGTTTGTGCATCTTTAAAATGGAGCATTTTAGATGCTAAAGGTGGGGAGGCCTGTTCAGTAACTTTGTGGGTCCATTATGGTAGGCGTGTTGTGCTGTCCTCACACAGGACCCCAAACCAGTCTCAGTAATGGGCACTTGAAATTTCTGCCTAATCATGCATTTCTGCATTTAGGAAAAGGCCATTTGCTTCTTCTTTATTTTAGACTCCAAGACAAATAGAAGATTTTGATTATTGATTTTTATACCATTTCTTCTTTTACTTAACCTACACGTAAAGTCTTTAAAAGAAAAAAACATCTCTGTCATGTTGTGAAAATTCTTGATCTAATAGGAACCTCAGTTAAAAATGTATTTTCTTTTTTAGGTGAAGGCATCCTCTACTTTCTACTGTTATTTTTTATCATTACCTTAAGGAAAGACATATCATTTCCCAGAATTATAATGATTGTAGGATAAAATAGGATGGTATCAGCTTATTTGAGTCTGACAATTCATCTTAGTTTTCCCAAAAAGAGAATGATTTTTTTTAATGCTTTATGTTTTAGCAAGTATTTTGCCTAATATATCCCACGAGGATGAAAAAGTTGATTTGTTTCCTAGAAGATCTTTCTACTCAACTGTTTAATAAAGAATGATGTAATTTTAAGTTCTGTGAGTTTTCTACTGGTTTAATTAAAGTCATGTTATTATTTGAAATTTTCAAGACCCCTGTATTGAAAACTCAAGAGAAAATGGTTGGCTGTTGGTTTTTCACGTCTGGTCCTGTCTCACTGAGTGCCAAAATTGAAAGAAAAGGATACTGTAATGGTAAGCAAAATGTTTGAAAGTCCAAATGGAAGAGTCATGCATGTTATTAGCTACTTTTAAGTGATTTTTAAATAGTGTGTTTTGTAATTCATGAGGTACAGACTGCTTTAAAACATGGATAATATGGCTTTCTGTTTTTCATATAAATAATGGATATGTACGTATTTTTGTTTGGATGAGTGGAGTCCAGTAAAACTCCTGGTATTTCTGACTTCGGTCCTTTCACTTGAGTGACAAAGACTAAAACTGGGAGAATGGGAAAATGCCAGCATTTTACTTGATGTTACAAAAGAACGTCAGGAGCAGTGTTGCTCAGAAGAGCACCGTCGCGGCATGAAACTCCTGTGGGGCGTTCTGACCCCGTGCCGGGGATGTGTGCACAAACACAGGGCGTGAGCGTGTAGAGCAGGAACTACCCGAACAGTCAGATGGATACTGGAACCACCATTTGTGAAGGATCTGATTCCGTCCGCCGGATCTGGCCTCCACTCCAGGATTCTAGCTCACTGGGGATGGATGTGGTCCAGGTGGTGGAACGGTGGACACATAACGGGGGTGGGAAAGTCACCTGCTCCGCCCATTGTTTCATTCATGCCTTCACATCGGTTCCTTAAATGCAACGTCTGTGTTCCTCTGTTAGCGAGATTTTAACTTGATGGGCATTAATGAGTTTGTTAGTGATCTTTTGTACTTAACATCGTACTTAGCATCGTAACATAGGTCTTTTAATTTTTATGGATGCTAGTCATTTACATATCTTTCAAACTGGCAACGTACTATTGCTACATTAGAGAAGCAAATAATGCAGTAAGTAGAAGCCAGCATCTACCAAGATCTGTAGTGAATTCTCAGGTCTCTGACGCGGATTCACAATACAAGTTTTCCATCAAAGTTCGCGTGGCGACTTTTGCTTTAATTGCTTAGCGGCTCTCTTCCACCGTGGTAAGAACTTTCTGAAAAGTCTCTGAAGGTGTTTTTGTTCTCTTTTTAGGAGAAGCCATTCCAATCTACGCAGAGATAGAGAATTGTTCCTCTCGGCTGATTGTTCCCAAAGCTGCTATTTTCCAAACCCAGACGTATTTGGCAAGTGGGAGAACAAAGACTGTCCGGCACATGGTTGCCAACGTGCGAGGAAACCACATCGCTTCTGGGGGCACTGACACGTGGAATGGGAAGACTCTGAAGATCCCACCTGTTACTCCATCCATCCTGGATTGCTGCATTATCCGAGTAGACTATTCCTTAGCTGTAAGTGGGGAGCTCTTTACGATGGAAAATATGCGGCACTCGCTGCCGTATCTGCACGAGTGTACACATGTCATACCTGGGGAACTGTCCTTGTAGATCAGCATTACAGCAGACCTGGGAATGGTGAAGACTGGCCTTTGTTCTTAATTGAAAACCGTCCCCCTAAGGAACTGAATTAACTTAACATGCATTAAGGGGTCTTTGTTTTATTGAAAACATAGACTTCATTTTTTGTAATTACTAAGTAAGCCGTGCTCGCTTACAGTAAAGTACGTTAAGGCTACCGTTCCCCATCACAGAGCAGTCCCTGGATTTCCTGGGCTCTTCGTCTGGTTTGTTCTTCATTTTATTTGGTCACAGTCATTTATAGTTTTCTTGGGGAAGTGGTGACGGCAACAAAGATCTTGCTTCTGTGAAAAACTAAACTGGAGGTCTAACTTAGAATTTTGCCTTTCTCTCTTCTTCTTCTTTTTTTTTGACCTGTTAGGTGTATATTCACATTCCTGGTGCTAAAAAATTGATGCTCGAGCTGCCCTTAGTGATCGGCACAATCCCATACCACGGTTTTGGCAGCAGGAACTCTAGCATCGCCAGCCGGTTCAGTGTGGACATGAGCTGGCTGACGCTGACTCTGCCCGAGCAGCCTGAAGGTACGAGGCTTGGAGGTTCTTTCCGCTGGGGTGTTACACGTAGGGCCCCCGAGGACCGCGCAAGACCACCGGTGCTCAGACGACGGTGGCTCCCGCCCCCACAGCTTTCCGGACTCTTCTGAGTACTGGACATTCCAAAACTGCCTTCCTGGCAGGGACCTGGAGAGCCTCGCTTATCCTGGACACAGAGGTGCCGATGGCAGAGCCTAGAATATAGTCTTCATCGCTCGATTCCCATTTATTAACAGTAAGACAACACGAAACAGAATCCGCATACGGTGCTATGTATTTTCTGTAGCCTCATTTCAGTGATTTTCTTTTTCTCACCTGCACTATATCCTACACCTCTTAGAAGAGTAGAATACAACCTAGGACAACCTAGAGGTCCCCGGATACATCCATACTGGGGGCCACTTATACCAAGAAGCGCCGCAGCGTAGATGTCAGGGTGATTCTGAAAGTAAATGACCAAAGGGCTCATTCTCCAAAGTATTGTTGAACCTGTGACCTGCAGACCCAGGAAAGGTCATAAACTAATTTTATTGGAAGGTTTTACCTAAAACAACAGTTTTCAATAGGAATGGTAGTGACCCCCAGGAGAGGTTTGGAAACGGGAGGGTGTTTGTTGTTTGAGCCCAACTGGCATTTTAATTAGCAGAAAGCGGAGATGCTGTATGTCTTGGAATGCACAAGACCATTCTGCACAAAGAACTGTTCACACAGAATTTTGTACCACCTCGTATTAATGAAGGTGTTTTTATAATTACCTAATTTTGGTGTCCATATAAATAGCATTATTTGCCCAGTTTTAATATGAATTTGCAGGATGGTAACTGCAAAGTAAATCAATGAACAATTATAGTTTATTGTCATATTTTTATCAATAAAGTTCACAGTTTTGAACAAAAAAAGTAGAATACAGTAACTTAGTAGTGATTTCACAACAGCAGAGTATTCTGTCTTGATGGGCACAAAAACTTGCTCGTTAGAGGCGGGGGGGGGAAACCATTGTTTGCAAATTTAGCTAAATTTCTTATTTTGGTAAGAGTTCAGAAGAGATTGATGTGATGAATTTTTGCATGGATTTCTGAGACTCTGTTTTTGTCGCAGCGCCACCAAATTATGCAGATGTGGTGTCCGAGGAGGAATTCTCTCGACATGTGCCTCCTTACCCCCAGCCCCCTAACTGTGAGGGAGAAGCATGCTGTCCCATGTTTGCTTGCATACAGGAATTCCGGTTTCAGCCTCCGCCTCTTTATTCAGAGGTAAGCAAAATTAAAGAAAATGAGACTTTTAGTTTGCCCTTGGGAAATAATCCTTTATAAGTATCTGTTGCTGATTCCTAATTAGTAAGGGATACATATTTAAAAAAGTCTTCTAGTGATGATAGACCGGCACTGATCCAATTACCTCCTTTTGTAATATTTTCTTTGTAAATGATAGCATGCCCGTAGAGTACTGTGATCGCCTTTAAATTGTGTTCTGTGGCCGTGGAGTACAGAGCACTTAAGTGACCCGCTGGGACTTCTTATTAATAGGCTCAAAGCAGCTTGGCTTCTAACCACCGTGTAATTAGAAATAGACACTGAGATCATTTGTCGGGTCCTGGGGTTAGTAAGCCTGGTCCTCTCTCCTTCTGCAGGTTGACCCGCATCCACCTGATGTTGAGGAGACCCAGCCCGTTTCCTTCATTCTCTGAACAAATGTCAGAAATCACTGTGTTCATCATCAGATTGGAGTGTCCGTTCCTTCCCCCACCTTGCCTTTTTGGAAAAGAGGGAGAGAAGAGGAATGCAAGAACAGAAATGAACAGATCGAAGGTGATGGAAATTAAAGAATATGTGAACTTCCCAGTGAGCCAACAGGATCATTGCACAAGCGGATGATACGGTTGTGTGTCCCCTTTAATGCAGCGAAGCAGATGTGGAAAGTCGACGTGACAAGAACGTCCCGGAAGTCCTGATGGTGACCGAGTAAGTGAAGGGTGCCTGCGCTGAAGAGAAGAGACTGTGTGCATAGAGCGGAAACGCTACGCAAGTGTCACTTTAAAAAGGTTTCTCCGAGTGGAACAGAAGTTACCCCAAGCTTTAAGGAAGTATAGACTCATTGGGAGCCTTGATTTTGAAGGAGGTAGCAGCGCAATAGGAAAGGCCTGCCCTAAAGATGCATTGTGACGCTGACATCCAGGGGCTTCATGCTTTCTTACAGTGTCCCATAGGACTAACGTCCCTGGGAGAACCTTTTGATGAGGTCCTAATGTGGTGACACGGTTTCACTTTATAAATCAGCTCTACAGTATTATGAAATCGAGAAAAGGGTTCCTTGCAAGGCATGTCAGTTCAGAGGGGAAAGATGAATTTCAGCATGAGAACACGTTTTGTCGAAGGCTAGACTTTTTACCCCCTTTAAGTACTTTGGTAGGATATGTGTTTGATTTTCTCCATGTCTTATTCATCTAGGATCACAGTAGGAAAAAAAAAAAAAGGGAAAAAGAGGAAGAAAAAAAAAAAAAAGGTTATGTCCTCAGACTGCCTTGATAACTACACAGGGAAAAAAGTACAAAAAACAAAAAACCAAAAAAACCCCAAAAGCCTTTCTTAACCTACCTCTAGTGGGGTTATCAGAATCCTTTGAAAACTCCAGGCCTGATGGGCCTTGTTTGGAGTTTCCGCTAATCGGCAGTGGTCTCCTCTTCCGAATCGCTGAATCTGTGGTTGGACCAAGGGAGAGATCCATACGGCTAGTGTCAGATGGAAGTTAATATACGTCTACCAAAGGGTATTTAAAAATAAATGCAAAATCAAAAGAGGGTACAAATAACCATGGTTTTTAAAAAGGACAAACTGAATTCCTGCCCAGAGCCTGACACCCGCAGACAGCAGTCCCTGTGCTGTGCACTCTTACTCCCATTCTAGTTCCTCGGTAGTTCCAGTTAAACTGTGATTTTTTTTTTCTTTCTTTATCATTTTGGTGCAATATTTTATTATCATTTAACCTCAGGCTATTTTGACCAACAAGATTGTGTTGCTGCTAGAAGTCTGAGCAGTGTTTTTACCATCCCGCACTCCCCTTCTGTTGGTGCCCACGTGGCCCCTTACTTCTCCTTTCATCTGTTGTCGGTTTCCTGAGCTGAGAGTGTTCCTGGACCCTAAGTGAAAAGGAGGGGAGGCGGGATCCCCACGATAATGATTTTGGACCAGCCGAGTACTTTGGTTTTCTCGATGTCCTACGGGTTCGACCCAGAAACCCTGGTGCTTCCCATGCAGAATGCCATACTTCGTTCCCCAGAGCGAGTGATTTTTCTTTCAGTCCCTATATTCAGTCCCAAGTATCAAAGTTCCTCTAGGGTTAAGTTTTGTATTTAGAAGTTAGCTGGCCAATCTGATCAGGGATTTTTCTACATGCATTAGGTAAACGTATATTTCTCCCCCTTCTGGACATACCTCTCTTTGTAATCACATAAGCATCTTAGGCAGTTTTTTCATCGCAAGCCACTATTTAAAATCACAGTGCAAAACTGTACACCAATAATTGTGGTACTGAAATTGTCACAGAACTTTTATTTCCTGGTTTGGTTTTTAGTGCCTTTTTTTTTTTTTAATTTTGCTTTGTTTTTGTGTGTTTTTAAACAGGTATGTGTGTTTAAGTGTTATCTAAGCGGTTTTGTTTTTCCTCTAAAAAAAAAAAAGATCCTCTTCAATTGTTTCTTGACTTCTAAGCTGTGCTTTATATGCCTTGTCAAGACATTGTCCGTCTCTGTGATACCAAAAATAAAGGGAAAGAAGCAAAGCAGAGCCGTATGAAGGAAGGAAGTTTAGTTATTTGACCCCATCTAGAAAGCCAAGTTGTTGGCTTCCAACGACTCAGTGGAATCCTTCACTAGGATTGTTTTATCACCTGTAACAGAGACATCATGAAATGTGCTCACAAAATTAAAGCAAAGCTGATTTTGGAGCACTTAAAAGAGTAGGTAAAAAGTATGATTTGCCTTATCAAATTGGTATCAGTATATCTGACTTTAAGCAGTAGGTTGAAACTGCATACCTTTTCTCATAATCAAGAAATTATTCTATGAATGTAGAAAATTCTACATTGCAACAGAATTCTTGGGAATGAAGATAAAAGTTTAGCTGCTATTTGCTTGTTATTCTGTTTAGTTTGCAAAGAAACTGTGGCCTTAGAATTTTCTTTTTGATGCAAAATTTTTTGAAATTGAAAATGTGCATCTTTTGGCACACAAAATCTTTCCATGGGCGGAACTTTAATTTTTATGTTTTTGTTTTGCACAATAAGAAACTCAATAGGCAGGGGGTTTGTTTTTGATAAGTTAACTATGAAAGTTTTTTTTATTTTTATTATTAAAAATGTAACACTTTAACCCACAGGAAAAAAAAAATAAAGATTGTATTTTGTACTCTGGTTTGAACCCCATGGGTTCCTTTTGTTAATAAAATCACACTAAGGCTGTGAGGTGCTGCTTCTGTGTTTGCTTTGTTTTTGTAAGACTATGACTTAAATCCTTACAGACTTAGGGGAAATGGGTACCACAAGACAAAGTGTAATTGCTGTTAAATTAAGATCCTTTGTTGCATATGCGGACTATCAGCGGGTCAGAGGGCCCTGGGGGCTTCCGAGCCTGGTTTTACAGTGGGCTTAGCTTCCCCAAGGAAATCAGTGTTTAGAATTCAATGAAGAAAAGTGGTAGCACGAGTAAGCCTAAACTGTCTTGGTTGTTGAGAGCGTGTTACCTTCATTTATTCCCAAATGACAATGGTTACTTTTTAAAGCTTCCTGAGCTTTTGTGTTTTATGGGCCACGTGTTTCCCTGGGATTAATTTAGTGCATCTGATGAGCTGTCCAGGGACCCATACAAGAAGGCACTGACCGATTCAACCTCCCCTTTCAAATGGGTAAAAGCCACACATTTTGTACAAGGACTATGTAATGGTACATCCATCTCAAGAAAACTGCCTAGATCCTCCCTCCTCTGGAAAATTCTCAAATTTATCTAAGTGGTAGAGCCCTTATCATTTACTCTCCAGGTGTTCATACTATGGGAGATAGTCTTAAATAAAGAGATTGTAGGTCCACATTGGCAGTCGACATAAATGGAGACATTTGTCTCATGCAATAAATACTGAGGCAGAATTTATCAGTTTTCCCTTATTGTTTTTGTAGTTTCTATGCCAAAGTGGTGGGTTCTAAAATTTAGAACTAAGGGGGACATTAGCAAAGAATCTAGGACAAAGCCCTCCTATTACAAATGAGGATACCAAAAGCCCAGAGGTGGAACCTCAAAATCTGACCTACATTCTCTGTAAGATCTCTGCTCACTCTAAGATTTCCTGATTCTACTAGTTTAACAGAAGCCACAGAAACAGCAACCACTTTAAGCTACACAATGTAACCCTTGCAGAACAGGATACTAAGCATATGCTAAATCAAGAATCTTGTGTTTCTGTCTAAAAGGCCTGCCTCCTGAAAGGATACCAGTCTTTGACTAAATTGCTTCCTAAGGAGGTTTAATTAGTAGCTGGGATCTTTTCTTCAGCAGAGGGATTTGTTTCGAACTTTATATTTTGAAATAATTAGAGACCCCTAAGCTGCAATCATAAGACAGAGATCATGCGTCCCCTTCATCTAGTCTCCCCCAAAGGGAACATCTTTCATAACTATAGTACATGACCCAAATCAGGACCCTGACACTGACACACGACCTACCATTAACTAGAATTCAGGACTTACTTGGATTTGGCTAGTTTTTGAATGCAGTCATTGTTCTTGCATACAGTTTTTGTAGAGAATTCCCTGACATTTTATCATGCCTAGGTTCATACCATCTCCACTACAATAAAAAAAAAAAAAAAAAAAAAAAAAAAAAAATCCCATCACCACAAAGAAACTCCCTCTGGCTGCCCCTGTGCCTGAACTCCCTCCCCTTCCTAATCCCCTAATCTCCTCTATCTCTGTAATTTTGTCATTTTTGAGAATGCTAGATACATGGAAGTGTTCTGTACCTTTTCCAGTGGCTTCTTCACTCAGGGGAGTACCTTTAAGATCCATGCAAGTTGTAACAACAGTTTGTGCCTTTATGTTCCAGCTGAGACATTTTGGAAGCAACAAATCGGCTATTACTGGCTTTGAAACTTCATTTTGCAATTTGCAAAGAAAATGGCTAACGTGTGCATGATACCTTTGTAAATATTTTGGTTTTGATTTTGAGAACTACCTTTTATGGACAAAAATACAGAAATGCAAGTAACAAAGATTTTTAGGGGTTCATTTTTAGCTTGCCAAGGAATTGAAGTATTTGACCTTTTAAAAAAAAAATATTTTATGTATTTGTCTGAGAGAGAGAGAAAGCATAAGCAAGGGGAAGGAGAAGGCAGCTCCTGTTGAGTAGGGAACCCAGTGTGGGACTTGATCCAGGACCCTGGGACCACAACCAGAGCCAAAGTCAGATTCTTAACTGACTGAGCCACCCAGGTCTCCTGACTATTTTTCCTTTAGATAGAAAACTGTTACATTATACTTGAGCAGAAACACCTGTGATGAAAGTATAAGCCAAGGAGAAACTACCTTGGGCTATTTATCCTATCAGCAGCTGATAAATTTTCATATAAATTATACAGGAAAGAAATTATATTTACCCTGCATGTTTGTGTTTTGTTGTTGTTTTTTTTTTAATTAAATCTTATAGGTTTTTTTTTTTTCCTTTTTTTCTGTCTCTGCTTTAATTCCCTTCTTTCTAGTCCTGCTGATTAATATCTGAGATGAAAAGCCCCCTTGGAAGCTGAGAAAAAATT